AGCTCCCTTATCCTTATGACTCCCTTATCCTACTTGATCAAACTAAATTTTAAGGAACATAATGGCAGCAGAAACAGGGCTGCCCAGTAAGATACTCATAAATTTGGCATGCTCAAACAAAAGGAGAGAAAAAGGCTTGATACATAGGCAATTCTGGGAGAGTGAAGAATAGCTGGTATGAGCTACATCCTGAAAACTTTCAGTTCTTGCTCATTTTACTTAAAAAGTAAAATATCCAAAGCTACAGTTTAAAAAAATGTGCAAGATCTTGTATAATCACAATAACTTGGAGAAAAATGATGCAAAGTCAGAGGCCTGATAATGAAAGATTTTTTCACATTTTTGCTGCTGATTTTAATGATAGGCATTATTAAGATTCTGGATTATGCTATCAGTTACCATTTTATCCATCAGATTTATTTACAAAGCATCCAGGAACTTGATGGATGTTCTATCCTTTACTGGAAAACCAGAACATGAACCTTCAAAACATGCAGTTTTGTTTCGTTGTTATTGTGTTAAATTAATGAGCTGTCTAGACAGATCATCTGAGTCAGCAAGTTGACAGATATCTGTTCTGAAAAGCAAATAAAAAAGCTTTGAGATGAAAATCAGAATTCAAATGGAAATCTAGTATGGATCAAATAGCACATTGTAAATAATACAATGAAGAGTACAGATCATTATAAGACCACATTAATATTCTTTATTAATTTAGCCAATTCAACAGAATTATTATTATTGTGGTACAATCAGCCAGGTGATTAGACTGAATTTGGCATTTTTATACATTTACTGAGTCCTTCCCAAGCACCTGGGATAAGGAAATGTTCTTGTTTAACAAAATAAAAGAGTTGGAAGCGATCTTGGAAGTCTTTTAGTCCAACCTCCTGCCCATGTAGGAGACCATCCTATCACTTCAGACAAATGGTTGTCCAATCTCTTCTTAAAACTCTCCAATGATGGGACACCCACAACTTCTGGAGGCAAGCAGTTCCACTGATTAATTGTTCTGTCAGGAAATTTCTCCTTATTTCTAGGTTGATTCTCCTTGATTAGTTTGATGGTATTAAAGGTATCATCACAGGATATAAACTGTTCCAAGTAAAATGACCTTTTTTCACTCAATTTATGGTGATTTTCTCAATGCTGATAGTGTTCCAGTAATACTCCTGATGTCTGGGGATTGCCTAATTCTATTGATACTATCTTGGCTTTCTTTTATTACAATTGTTCTACTTCTATTTGTAGATCTTTATTTTTCTTCAGTTCTTTCTCTTCTCTTGTATTCTTCTGTCTCCAGGTAATCCACTATTCAAACTTTTTTGTCTGTGGTGTTGTGTGGCAGATGCTTGTCTGTTTGTATTCTGAAATTCCTGAGTACTGTACTTTAGCATCTTCATTTTCTATTACTTTGTCTATTCTCTAATCCCAAATGGTATTTCTTCCAGATATTTCAGTGAAGTATTGTTGCAATCTTCTTTCAGCAGCCAACCAGATGGCCCGCTGCTTCTTCAGCTTCTTTTATCATCATCACTATTATTATATACATAGCAACACAAAAACCACAGCTGTCAGTTCTTTAGTTGGTGTTCATAACATCAAATTTATTCTAAGCACCTAAGATGTCATAATGAATCAACATAGTATACAGTATATGCCAATCCAAGTATTGTGGTCTTTTTTAATTGATGGATGGAAATTTTGTAGATTTTTTTTAAATGTTGTCCAAGATTTTTTTTAAGTGTTGCCCAAGATTTTTTGCTATGACAGTCAGTGTATCAATAACTACCAAGACCACCATAGCTGGTTTATGTCATAACTGATTATTTATATGCCCAGCTATGACATGTAAGCAACTCTGGAATTAGAGTGGAAAACATTACAGAGATTCTAGGAACATATGAAAAAAAAAATCCCGTTTATATTTTGTTTCCTCAGATGTAATTTAGTACTGTTCATAAAGTATGTTTTCTGCAGACTTATATGATATCACTATAAAAGTAATTGTGTTCACTCAATTAAACTTTAAACTATATTGAAATAATAGGACATTTTCTATAAATATCAACAAATGTGGTTTCCTGATTTTTTTTTAAAAAAACTATATGTGATATTGCTAAAGTTGATAAAATGAATGCTGGCATTATAAGGTATTATAAATGCAAGAAATGGATGGAGTATGTTGCTGATATTGTTACTGCTTTTAAAAAAATAACCTGAGAAAAATTGGCTCACTAAAAAGAATAAAAAGGTGATGGAATTCAAAATAGCCTCTATCCTGCCAGGTATTTTTGTCAGAAATGCCACAGCAATGAGCTTCCTGATTTAAATCTCTTAGCAATAGAGCATTTTGTTCTGCTTGACATGAAAGCAATTGGTGAGTCACCCTGGGACTAGAAAATCAACAATATACCAGCTGTCATTTTATCTTCTATCCCTAGTCAGAACTAAGCTGTTTTGAAAGCCAGGATATTTTCAAGATAACTTTGTTTTCTGTTTTCGGTCCCTTTATGTTGTTAGAATAGAGCTGGAGACAAAAACTGTGGCTAACATTCCCAAATGAGGTAGTTTAAGGGGTCCAAGATCAATAAGTTGTTTGATTTGTAACAACATAAGAAGGTCTTTTAAAAAGCTTTGGGAAGGCCAACCAGTGGCTGTGCAATCTCCAGCTATTCTCTTGATTTCCATCAGCAGAAGTCCTTTGGAGGCATTTGGCCTGCAACATCTGGGCCTTTCCCAATTATTATGAGTATTAGCTTTTCATAGATGTATCTTTCTCTGACCCCCTGCTGAAACCATCCAGGAAACTTTAAAGAAATGATTGCATGATATCAAATTAGCAAACACTGTATATATAAAGCTATGTGAACCGTGATATAATATCCAAGAAGGAAAATCTGGAAAAATTATAACTCCCTCCCCCCTATAATTTGTCCAAACTGTGCAACTTTCTTCCTCCTTGTTTTGATATAATAAAAAACCAAGTCTAAATTTAAATGTTGACAAATGTAGCAAAAATGCACTGCTACAAATCAGGCATTGATTTAACACTGTTAAAAAGATCATCCTAGGATGGTGACTTTCCATGCTCTTTCAAACAAAAAGCATTCAAGAAGAGTAATGGTAAGATGTCTCCTTGTTCACACAGTGAGTTATTTCTGATGACACAATCAACTTGGAATTAGGATACTAATGATCTTGATATCTATATGGAATACCTTAAGCATCCCAGAAAGATGTTTATGCAGCAGTGGTGTAAGACTGGGAGACCCAGATTTAGATTCCCTACTCAATTATGTAGCTTACCGCCTGACATTGAGCCAATATCCTCAACCTACTGTAGTCTATTGAGTATAGTAAAGGATGATGTGAGGTATTAAATTTATAAATCCTAGCCAGTAACTTAAGATCTAAAGTTTAGTTATGGTTTTCATAGTGTATAATAATCTGACAATGTAATAATTTGTGCATATTAATTCATCCTCCCCAACAAATAATACTCATATTTCTCAGCAGTTCCTTACAGAGTTCTACAAGGCCTGAACAATCATCAATTTTCAGCAGAAATGGAATCTTATGTTTTTTCTCTGATTTTTCAGATTTCTCCAATTTTCTCCAAGGTTGTTATTTTTATGAGGAATTACACAAACAATGGATTAGGTTGCAACTCATTTACACATACTTGCTGCCCAAATGTAAGGGAGCAACAATTTTCAACAATATCTGTGGTGTTACCTTAAAGTCATCTGCAACCCCACCCATGTCTGACAGACCTAAGTCATCCTTTTTTTTAACTAGTATTAAAATGATATATTTTCCTTATTAAAAAACTTTATAGAGGCAACTTCAAAGTGCATCAAATATATTAGGAGAGAAATGACTGTCAGTGACAGAAAACAAAGATGGCAGGGTTGCAACAGAGACACAAATTTTGTGTGAGTAGCAATCAGCTGATTTGCAAAAGGGTACTGCCAGTTTTCATGTTTTCAGATCAGATACCAGTGAGGGTCTAAACAGAAGATATCACGATGAAAATTTAGATTAATTTTAAAAAGTCCAAAAGTCCAAACTGTCTAGTTTGGTACAGCAACCAGAAAGGACAGATACAGATTCCAATAGATAGTTAGGACTGCAGAAAAAACAATTGCAATCAGCCTGCTTTCCAGTGAAAACCTACATATTGCTTGGATCAGAAAAAGGGCTGAGAAAATATCTACAGACCCTTCACATTCTGGACATAAATTGTTTCAACCTCTCCCCTTGGGATGCTGCTATAGGAGGACATTGCCTGCCAAAACAACTAGACACAGTTTTTTTTTTTCTTCTTGCCATCACTCTGCTGAACAACTAATTCTCACAATACTTTCTTATGTTCAAGGATATTTACCAATGTTGTTTGGCTGTAGTATTTTTATTATCCTATCTTTGTTATTACCACCTCTTATTGCTATCATTATTATGATTATTATTATCCTGTTGCTTTGCATGTACACTGAGAGCTTCTGCACTGGAGACAAATTCCTTGTGTAATCATATTTGGCCAATAAAGTATTCTATGCTATGCTATGCTATGCTATGCTATGCTATACTCTGTGCTATGCTATGTTCTATGCTATACTCAATGCTATGCACTATGCTATGCTCTATGCTATGCTAACGATATCAGAGAGGTTGATCTTTGACCTGCCATATTGAGCTAAAACAGCGATAAGGGTAAATACCACGGCATCTGCTTTTCTTAGGCAGTTTTACAGCTCTTCAACCTCTCTTTTCTCCCTTTGTCCCCAACCCTATTACTTAGTTTAGACCTCAGCAAAGGAAGTTGACAGATTAGTAAGAGCTAGCTACAATGTTAAGTGTGAAGCAAACACTGAGTGCCCAGTTAAAACAAAAATGGGAAATCAGCATTCAGGTTATCTGGCTATTAGCATTTAAGCATTTAGTTCATTTTTTAAAGAAATGTCTTCTCCCTACTCCCTTTTTGTTATATCACTTACCTAAGGATACTGAAGAAATCCAAAAGTTGACACACTCTTCTTTTATTAATTCCCATTAGCTCAAGTCACATTGGTTTTTTTTTTTAATGAATCTTGTACGTGTGTTTCTATGTTTTTCTAAAATGGAAATGTTTGTGTTTTGTTATCTTCTTTCTGGTTTTCATCTATCTTTTGCTTAAGCATAGGAAATGAAATGTTGCGGCTGGTTGGTTTGCGAAGAGCCCATCATGCTATTTTGTACTGCCTTATCAGTTCCTCTATTCTCCCTCTGTCAGGAAAGGAAATGAGTAATTGGAATGTGATATCTCCAGTCCTGTGAACAGTGTATTAGTGTACTTACCTTCACCAAAAGGAATGAGACAAGAAGGATGAGTTTTGAGGCTTTCATTCTCAAAACTCATCTCTAAATCTCTAACAAATTAAACTTAACCATATATTGGGTGAGTTTTGTTTTAAAGTCTAGTTTAAAATATAGAAATCAGATTATTATGAAAAGACTCCTACTGAAATTTAGGACTGAGCTGAGATCCTCAAATCCTCTGTCATTTTGCAGGGCTGAATCATTGCTCAATATTTTACTTGAGCATATGCTGTGATTGATTTTAAAACATCTAGAAAAATGAGCACAGTTTCTTTGTTAATTCCATCCACCATGTGGGAAAAAGTAAAATATTGATTGCCAATGTACAAATGCATATCTGTCCTTACTGAATTGGGATTTATTGATTAAAAGACAAAGTGAGTTGTAACTGAAATTAAAATTCAGCTATTTGGATCATTCAAGAAAGGGTTCACTCTCTGTTGAGAAGGTCTTTTATTCATGCATAAAAGAGAATTGAAAGTTACCAGGCATCAAAAGCCCCATTGTGTTATTGCTGTTATTGGGCAAATGAAACAAGCTACAGAAAAGTTTTGTTTTCCAGGAGAAAATTAGTGCATATAAATGTTTTCTTTTCAAACATTCTGTCTCTCTGTCTCTCTTTCTCATTTCTAAATTTTATTTTCTATCTTATTCTATAGATACACTTGCAATTTTTATAGAGCTTCACTGTACATCTTATTCTGTGGGTTTTACATGTTTCTAGGGGTTTACTATGTCTGTAAACTTTCTCTTTCCCTCCCTTTTTTTGTTGCTGGTATTATCAGGGTTTAGCTAATTGCATCCCACAAATGTCTTATTGTTTTCCTCTTCAACCTGAGTCCATGTTTCAGGTTACCAGATTCGGCTCCTTTGGCTGTTACTGATGCTAACTGGCTATTGGTGCTGCTACAGAAGCAAATGTGGTGGCTGGACTCTGTCTGGTCACAGTTTGCAGCTGGATTCTAAACTAGCTCCTGGCTTTTGAATCAGTTCTTGCTTCTTCTGCACTTCCAGTCATCTCTTACTGATTGCTGATTCTGGTCCCACATATTCATCAAACCAGTTTTGCTATTGGCATACGAGGGCAATTTGGAAATAAACCTCCAATTGGTTATCAATGCCAGATACACGCAGATACAGAACTTTTATTATATACATTAGAAAACTACAACATTACATTACTTTTTGATATAATCTCCATTCATATTGAGGCACTTGTCATTACGTCTTAGAAGGTTTGAAATTCCTTAGTAGTAGCTGCTCAGCGCCAAATCTGGGCTATGGGGAGATGATCAGAAACATCCCAGTGGAACTGCTTCAAAACTTCTTAGGTGCATCTAGCAGTGTGCGGGCGAGCATTATCGTGAAGCAACACCATGCCAAAAGTCAGCATGCCCTGACACTTGTTATGGATAGCTCATCTGAGTTTTCGTAACATTTTACAGTAGACTTCTGAATTGATAGTTGAACCATGCTCCATGAACTTCACTAGCAGTACTCCTTTGGCATCTTCACATTTGGCGGGATTTTCTATGGCACCACTTCCGGTGTGGTGTTGGTTCATGATAATGCTCGCCCGCATACCGCTAAATGCAACCAAGAACTTTTGAAGCAGTTCCATTGGAATGTTTTTGATCACCCCCCCCCCATAGCCCAGATTGGGTTTCAAGTGACTACTACTAAGGAATTTCAAAACTTGTAAAACATTATGACAAGTGTCTCAATTTGAATGGTGATTATGTCAAAAAGTAACGTAATGTTGTAGTTTTCTAATGTGTATAATAAAATTTCTCTATCTGCGCGTGTCTGTCAGGTTTATTTCTGAATTGCCCTTGTATTTTGCACTGCCACATACTCTTTCCCTCTCTCCAATGCCTGCCACCACAATGGCTCTTCTTGATATAGCAATAAAAGAAAACAAAATGGAGGGACTTCACAGGATAATATGCCCCAACAACAGCACAACATGACCCTTGGGAATACAAGGATACATGAGAAGAAGCACAGAGGAGAAAGTAACAAACTACATTGTGGTATTATGATGTGCACTCCATGGTTCATGCCCCTTATGTCTGATTTTAGCACATACATGTTATGTTGGTGTTTATGCTGAGATGTCATGACACATATTTCCACATTTTTGTTTATTGCAATTAAAAGCAGGTCCCTATGCTTGGTGGCAGTCCCCTTGATCAATGGCCACAACAATATTCAGAGATGAGATCCCAGTCATTTTTAACTGATTGGAAACGATGCTATTCTTTGCATAAGTATAATTATTTGTCTTGGGGGAGAGGAAGGGGAAAAAAAGAAGGTATCCCAAATATGTCGGTGTAAAGCTGTGCAAAATCATTTGAAGGAATCATTTGCGAGCAAGCAAAGCATTCCTCCCAATCCAGAGTGCTACATCTTCTTGAAAACTTGGTGTAACTGCTCTGAGGGCCTCCTTATATTGTCTGATAAATCTAGTCCTGCACGTACTTCCTGAAGGATTGTGGCTATTTCTGCAAAATCTCTGGATAAATTTCTAGGGAAGCCAGGATACCCTAATAACAAACATTTTTTAAACAGTTCCAAATTTACAGTAAGTGAATGACACAATGCTTTTTCAGAGAGTTAAAATGGCTTTTGTTTATGCTTTTGATAAATACATGATTTCTCCAGAACTGGAAGAGGGAGACTGTGTTCTCAAAAACTCATAAGTAGCATATCATTGTTGTTAATTGATGGTGTTGATGATAATAATAATGATACACCAACAATAAGCAATGACCAAAAACTGCTGGAACTCTATTTTTTCATCTTATACTATTTAAGTATGCATGTGGAATCATAAATGGATGGATAAAAATGTATATAAATAGACATTTGAATTTTTCTTTCATTTACTAGGAATACACTGTAAAAAATTTCTTTGCATTTTTGAAATATTTAATATAATGAAGAAGTACCTTAGAAAGAGAGTTTCATATTTTGCATTCTTCAATTTAAGAACCTCAGCTGATCAATATTGTGTTTTAGTGGTAAAAAAGTAAATTTAAGTCTTAAGATTTGGGGTTGCCAACTTATTTGAATCTGGGTGACTAGGGATCGGTTACTGTCCCAACGTTCCTGAGACAGGTAAACCTCACACTTCCTTGTATCTATCACCGTGCCCAGGTGAAGGAGGTGGGTGAGGGAACTATCTGGCGTTTCTGAAAATTTATTGAAAACCTGTGGTCCTGGAGAGTCTTGATGGACAATGCCAATTCTGACTGAGCCAATTGGACTGAAGAGGATTGAATGAGGATGTCCTCCAGATAACACTGGACATGCACTGGAATAGTCCTGAGATGTGCGGCCAGCACCGCCAGGACCTTTGGGAATGCTCTGGGGGCCGATGACAGGCCGAATGGTAGAGCTCTGTACTGAAAAGTTGGTCTTATTTGAGGAAAAGTCAAATTAACTTGGCAAAGCAAAGTTGAGGCACAAAGAAGCTTTTTCCAGTAGAAACCTCTGTACTGGTACCATTGGTGATTATATTTTTAATGGTGGAGTCCGTAGTGTTCTTTGAGCTTGGTTGTTTTCTTTCGGATGTTTCATTGCCCAAACTAGTCATGAGTGGGTTAGGGTATTTTAAATATATATTTTAATGGTGGTATGAATTACTGCATACATGGAATAAAATTTAATGTATACTAAAATGTGGCTACTATTCATGTATTCTATAAATTCACAATATCCTCTGCGCATAGACAATAGTTTTCATTTGAAATTAATAAAATATTTAATTTATCGGGAATAATAATTTAGCTTAAAGCAGTGGTTCTCAACCTTTCTAATGCCGCGACCCTATAATACAGTTCCCCATGTTGTGGTGACCCCCAACCACTTATACATCACCAGGTGCCAGGGGTGTGGCCAAAGAAAAGGGGGAAAAATGGCGGACAGCCTTGTTTGGCGACCCCCGTGAAATGGTCGTTCGATCCCAAATGGGGTCCTGACCCACAGGTTGAGAACCACTGGCTTAAACAGATGATTATAGACATCAAAGCATAATTAGCTATTTTCTCTGGAACAAAAGTTCTGTGGCCCATTATCATACTTCAGCATCTATTGAAATATTTAGGATTTGGGCATCTAACATGAATCCCAAAAAAAAAAAAAGGAAGTTTCAATGTTGATACAATTAGACATTTCTAATGCCCACTTCATTTTTTCTCTTTGTTTTCATTTCCATTTTCTTCATTGAAAAATGATAGGGTCATTTTTTTTCTGAATTTAATGTTGTAAATTGCTACACTTGACTTTAAAATAAACTGTCTAGATTATGTGTACCTCTTTGTAAGAAAGACATAAATGAAGTCAAAATTCAGTATCTTGTGTAAAAATAGACTCACCTTAGGAACATAAGTTTCACAAAGTTATAATGGTTTGAAATGTTCCTTTTCAACAATAATATTTTTCTCAAAATGATCTGATATAATTGTTTCTGCAGAGAGCAAACACTGCATGGGAAAGGTTTCTGTTAACCTGGTTTAGACAGAATATTCCCTGAAGTTTATATTACACACATATGCCTTTATTTTATTTTAATTGAAGGAACATCCACAGATAATGGATCTGAGCAGATAAGGAAAAGAAATGATAATTTTGCTCTGACCATTTTTCAGAAAATATACAGATGTTTCTAACTTTTCAGTAACTGGAAATGCAGTGAGGGGCATAGGAATGATGATGATCTGTCAAAAATAAAAACAGTGAAAATTTCTATCTTTTAATGATCACAGTCTGACAAAATAATTATTTTTTATAAATTCTGTAGTTTACCAATTTCCACTTTTTTAAAAAAAAAAGTTA